AAGTAGTAGTAACAGAAAGATCCTCCTGTTACAAATAAATATGTATTACAACTTTATGTTTAGAGCACTTTTTGTGGTTGGGTATGTCTGAGTTTAATTTTTTGTAGTTATTCATATAAAAGTCAAATAATTGAGAATCTACCACTATTTTAAATAAATATATTTTATATAGTTTTGCAATTCTAATAACTAATCGTTATCACTAATTACACGAACATGTGATAAATCCATGAAAAATGAAACTATAAATTAACAAGTTAATCTAAATTTAAACTCATTAGGTATTAATGTGTTCTTATTTTCCGAATATATCTTTTTATTTAATGATAGAGTTTTACGCAGTTTTTATAATTTATGTTAAAGAAATTCAAGTTTTTGTCATAAATCTCGTTGACTGCTTTACCGTTAAATTGTAAATATTGTTTATCCCAGTATAGTTGCATCTGACTCTTGTACTATTAAGCTTTACATTGAATTAATCAAGCTATGAAAATATCTTACAAATGTATCAGGAATGTTGTTTGCGAAATAGAATGGACTGCAATTCATTTTAAAGTAACAATTGTAAATTATTGTTGTAATTTTTGACAAGGTCTTCTTTTAAATTCGCTCAAAGTAATAAAGATGTCGAACATATTCGATCTAAATAAATAAAGAGAATATTCTGTTGTTCGCATGCATTGTTTAAATTCGAAATTTGCAATGATTATTTTCTTTTTACTACAGCAAAAAGAAAGAGTCACGTGGATATGATAATAAGCGTTTCATCACATCGCTTTATTATTCGTTCAGATTTTACTTTTTAATTTTATTTCGTTTTTTTTTGTTCGAATGACCCCCAATTTTCGTTACAACTATTTTAGCATCATATGTCGAAATGTGACGCACTTCCCCATTAAATATACTCGATAACCGTGGCAGCAGACGATTTCGGCAGCTTGTAGCCATTTTGAATCCACGCCCAAAATAAGAGAAAAAGAACAGGATACTTGTAGAAAGGCATAAAAGCAGGCCATTTCCCGTGGAAAAAAAAATCCTCCACATCCTTTTTTATTTCATTTCATTTTATTCTGAGTTATCCCTAATTAATTTATATCTTTGTAGTTTGCAATTATATGACTGTCTTTATTATCAAATCTAACTTTTTTGATTTAAAACTTCGTTTTACTTTTTTATGTGGAATGGTTACATTATATGAATGAATAGTTTTTTTATTTATTTATTTTTATAATTATGCAGCTACTGAGAGAAAATTAAATAGCTACTGAGATTTTAAAAAAATTAAATAATCTATTCTGCATTAAAAGTTGTCCTAGAAGCAATAAAAATATAAAAAATTTGATAGGAAAAAAAGATTAAAATGTTAATACTAAAATAGTAGTTAAGAATTTGAAATAACAACGTAATAACTGAAAAATGAGTACGTTATGTGTTTTTTTGTAAGTTCATTGCTGAAAAGCCCCTTTCAACAGCTGCAGTACTCCCAGACAGAGAAAACATAAATTCCACCATGCGCAGTATGTTGCTGTATTGTGGGTCATTTTGCTGCATTAGGTCTTTATAAATAGCATGGACTCGGAGGGCTGAAGTTTTCTGGTGTTAAATGATGTTATGTATCTTAAATTTTAATGACACCCATTCTTGAGAAAAACTTTATCTTCTCCTTCAAGCAAGCAAATAAAATGTTCAGTCTGCATGTTTTGGTTGCCAAAAGATATCAAAAGCTGTTTTTCAGATGGCCACTCGGTGAAATCAAATACACGAAAATACGACACATGAGATTCTTGAAGCTGTTTGAATCTAGTATCTAAAAATTCAACAGTACTATCAATAAAATCAGCTGCAAATATGGGATCGATATCTTCATCTATTAAATTTTTATGTTCCCTTGGTAAAATCCTGGCTGAGATTTCAGTTCAACTAACTGTAGAAGTTCAAGTTTGCTGGTAGCTTCAAATATTAGCAGATTTTCAGCTTGATACATCTCGGACGAAATGCCAATAATAGATAAAAAAAAATCCGAAAAAAAAACAATAGAGTTTTAAGAGGGTCACTTTAGAAGTGAGGCGCTAGACTCTTGTAAGATAACAAAAATTGAAAATGTATCAAGAACAATAACGGGAAAAAGGCCGTCCGCGCGGACGTATTCGAGAAATTTTTTGTCAGCGGGGAATTTTTGACCGCCGAGGACGGGCTGTTTTTTGAGCCCTGAACTTAACTAGAATTTGAAACACACGAATAACTAAAAGTGAAATTATAAACCCAATATATTTCTTTAATGTGTTTGGTATTTCTTTAATGTCTTCTCTAATGTGTATTTCATCGATCTGTATTTGATAGTGTCTGTTGGCAACGCTAAAAACGTTTGCAAAGAACATTCTCTATTTTAATGACGGACATTCTGTAATTTAAAAAAAAACTTATAAAGAAAATATTACGTTTGTTACATTATCGTATTCGGGATGTCTATGACTTATTTTATATAAATAATATGCTAATGAATAAAATGACACTAATATTCATACTATTAAAAAGTAGTGAGGTGTATTTCTGTGCCTTTATAATGCAATTAAACCACGGTAACCTCCAGAATAGCATAATTTGCTTAGCACATACTTTCCATTACGTATGCTATTATTATTTGACACATTTTAAAAACCACAGAAATGGGGGGAGGGGAATACTTAGCAATAAATTTTAAAGAAAAATCATGAATCGAGCGACAGAACAATAAGCAAATTTACCAAAAATAGCGGTATCTTCCGCATAAAACAACAAAAGTATTCTTATTTATTTAAATAAACTATTACAGTGAATCCTCTGGGAAGCAAGCACTCTCAGTTCCACAGTAAAATGATCGTTGATGGAGGTTTTTGGTCGTTCTTAAAGGTTGGCCCCATTGACTTTAAAATTTTTATCAATTACATGATTTTTCGCAAACGATTTTAATTTTAGTCAACGTCATTTTCTTGGTGCAAAAATGTCTCTTCTGTTAGTGTCATGACAAGGATGGATCGATGAGCAAAATTTAGCGTCTATAAAAATGATTCCAACTGATATAATTATGTGTAAAAACAAATTTACCAATTATGAATGATGAAGTTATTTTAAATAAATAAACAAAGTTTGCTTGTTTGAGATGCTTGTTTTTTTCTAAAAAAATTTTTTTTTCTAATTTAACTTTCAACTCATTAAAAGTAAATCATTGATAAGCATCGTCTTTAGTGCAATCTCACTGCAACGTGAGGTTGTCATCCTCAGAGAGAGTTCTCTAAATAAGAGCCTCTCACAAATATTTTGAATACATTTTTTCTCTAAATAAGAGCCTCTCACAAATATTTTGAATGCATTTTTTTCTCTAAATAAGAGCCTCTCACAAATATTTTGAATACATTTTTTNTGTATCTTCAGAAAAAGTTCTCTAAATAAGAGCCTCTCACAAATATTTTGAATACATTTTAATCTACTTATTTGTTTTGTTTGATGTTTTTGGGTGTTTGGTGCAGACGTTTGCCCGGTCAATGGTCGCTTCCAAAGGTTTTCTTTAACTCAAAGTCTATGGAAAAAATTCCGTGCCTCCCAAGCGTGGTCGTAAATAGTGGTTGTCGCTGCATAGTTTTTCCTGGAGGTTTCACTGCAATTTAAATCAGGGAGCCTAATTTCAGTTTCAGAAATTATAATGCTGATGATAACAATCGATGCAACAGTTGTTAATTGATTACAGATATTTAGAAAACGCCGAACTTAGTAAAGCCTAAGTAATATTTTTTTTTCAATTAATATTTACTATCACGAAGACATCTAGCAATTATTTTTGTTTTAACGTATAAGTCTCTGTTATAATTCATGTTGTTATATACCACTGAAAAGACATTTTTCAAACAGTACTGATTTGATTGAGACCGAAGAGAGCTTGGAGCACACAGTGAATCACACAAAATAATCTTTGGACGTTCATTCTTCAAAAAAATGCTAATATTATTTTGATAAAAGAAGACTGCTAGTAGGGAGGTTTATTAAATATGCTACCTGCAACGTTGGAAGCTTTGCCATTCTGTATAATACACCCCTTATGTAGTAATGTGTAAACATCATACATAGAAATTAATTGGAGGAAACGCTGGCCGGCGTTCTCTATAATGCCCAGGCATTTTATAGAGTGTCTTATGTAATTCATACTTTTCTGATATACCATTCTATAGAATGCCTAGGTGTGAGTGAAATGTTTAATCGTTTCATACATTTCAAAGGCCAGTTTTCGGCGTTCTCCCCTAGATATTCTGTAGAAAACTGGATTTCAAACTTATAAGTGACAAAGTTTAATAAGAAAGCTTTGCCACGGTTTTTAGGCACTTAAAATGTGGCTCTTTTATTTTTCTAAAAACAGTTCTATGTTCTTTTTCCATGGAATTTTTAAGGTGTTCGTGTATCCGTCTCAGAAGGAAGTAAATCAGTGGGACTTCTTAAAACCCGTGGCATTTAAGTACAACAAATCTAATTGGTTTTGCATCATCGCCCTTCCTCAACCTTCTTCCACGATTTGTGTTGTTTGGGGGGTGGTAGGACACAATGATGCCACCTCCAACGATATGAATGATATCGTTTGATCACAAAAACCATTTGTTCCAATGAGTAAATTGTTCGACCCTTATCAATGTAGCATCTCCAAAACCCAATTTTCACTGAATAACTTTTAAGAGTGAGGTAAAAGCGTATTGAGATGAACTGAATTATCGGTTAAATGGCTAGGTTGCGGTTACGGGGGAACAAAACAAAAAATGTGTTCTTAAACCCTATTTCAGAAACTTTTGACTATTTGCAAAGATAACCAGTTCTCTTTTTAGCATTTCATGTTACATAATTTGAAAAAATATTTTAAGTGTACAATGTTAAGTTACAAATTTAAAGATTGGTTTTGATTGATCAACAATCCCGTTACTTTTTGTTTTATCACTTGCAGTTAGTTTTAAATTATTAAACGACCTTTTTTTTAATTTCAGGAACGAATATTGGATTAATACCCAAATCTTGTGTAGAACAACCAACTTACATCATCAGTCATTAGTTGTAAGTATTATTATTATTGTTTATTAGATATTATTTGAGGATCTTAGTTTAACCTCAAATATTATTTTAACATGACAAACACGTTTCTCTGGGGTTTTTTTTGTTGACCGGGTGACCTTAAGAATTATTATGCATTATTTTGCAAAAGTAACAGTAAGTTTTATGAAAAACTAATCTGTTTAAAATTAAATGTTTTAGAAAACTGTTAAGAAATATATCTATCATGCAAAAAAACAAAAGTTTTTTTTAAAGAGATGTTTTAAAAACTTGATAAAAGGATAAAGATTAAGAAACAATATTTTGTGACCTACTGATTTTTGATATAGTGATATGAAACATTAAGTGCTTAGATTAATTAATTCTGATTCGAATTGATTGAAATCAATTTGGATTGATTTCGATTGATTGTTAAATATAGCATTTTAAGTACTTGGTCTAGTTTTTTTTGCCCATTTTATTTATTTATTTGGCACTCTGCATTTCGTTAGAAATGCAGAGTGCCAAATGCCATTTCCCTTTAATGTTCGTGATACATTTTCAATTTTTGTTATCTGACAAGAGTCTAGCGCTTACTTCTAAAATGACCATCTAATCTAGAAATCCCGTTGATTCCTTCGTCAGACCAAATGCGCATGCTCATGTAATCCGTAAACCAAAGAAAAGTTGCTCTGTGCATGTGCAATACTGTTGAATTTTTAGATACTAGATTCAAAAAGCTACGAATACCTCCTGTGTCGTATTTTCGTGTATTTGATTTCACCGAGTGGCCATCTGAAAAACAGCTTTTGATATCTTTTGGCAACCAAAACATGCAGGTTGAACATTTTATTTGCTTTTTTGTAGGAGTAGGTAAAGAAATTTTTTCTCAAGAATGGGTGTCATTAAAATTTAAGATACATAACATCGTTAAACACCAGAAAACTTCAGCCCTCCGAGCCCATGCTATTTATAAAGACCTAATGCAGCAAAATGACCCACAATACAGCAACATACTGCGCATGGTGGTGGAATTGATGTTTTCTCTGTCTGGGAGTACTGCAGCTGTTGAAAGGGGCTTTTCGGCAATTAACTTACAAAAAAAAGCACATTACGTACTGGTCTTAAACGAGAAGCGTTAAACGCAAATATGAACATCTACATAAATGGAAAACCCCTTTCAGATTTCTGTGCAGAAACCTAAGTAAATCATTGGCTTGATTGTGGAACTGGCAAACGTCATATTTGATTCATTTAAAAAACACAGTACCCTCGGATAAATTGACATTCCAGATAACTTGACTTTTGTCATTTAAATTATTTCTTAAAAGAAAGAAAATGTTTCATACAAGAAATACTAGGTTACTATTCGTAACCTAGTATTTCTTTTATTACTGTATAATGTAATCCTAGTAACTTCTAATTCATTGTGCAATTTACATAAATGTTTGTAATAAATAAGAGAAAATTATATTCTTATTTATTTAGAAGCGACGGGTTAGTTTCAAATGAGGACGGGTACATTGTCGGACAAGCCGTCTCTGAGGGACGGGTAAAATTTCTGAGTTTTTTCGAGCCCTGTTTTGAATATTGGTGAAAATTAAGTTCTGTAGTTAAGTTTGCCTTCTAAAAGTAGCGAAGTAGTGACTACATTTCGAAAGTAGTTTCTAGTCACTACATTTAATAAATAAGTAGTTGTTAACTACAATTGTAATAAAGTAGTTAACTACAAAGAAAATGTAGATTTACCGGCCACTGGTTTCGATCATAGTGTAATGTAAAGGTCAAAAAAGTAACGGTTCTCGACAGTAATGCACTATTGTAATAATACGCTATGCATGATTCCACACCCTCCCAAACAATACATTATTACAATCGTTTTGTGACAGTTGACAAATGCAATATCAGTTCATCGCATTTGTTGTAATCACCCATTCAAGTAACGCACTCTGAATATTGAGCGGTTGTAGCTGATTTAAATAGGAAGTTTAATGGGTTCAAAAAGTTCATTTCTCTTTAATGTGTTACCATAGAATCCGACCAAAGAATATTAAACAATTGTGTCCGTGATTCTACCTTGTTATGCAAAGTTAGGGTGAAAAAAGTAGTAGTTCACTCAAAAACTATTCGCCCGATTTCGCCCGAAGTTTTGGGTTTTGTCATTTAAAATTACGTGCATACTAACTTTTGCCAAATAACATTAATTGCATTTGTGAACATTGAGTAAAACACACAGATTTGTAACTTTTATCCATAATTATGCTATAACACGTGGTCTTAATGGTTCGAAAAAATAACCTTAAATATGTAGTCAATATTTAAAGTTAAAAATATAAAATATATGAAAATAAATATACCTTTTTTTCGACGATCCATAAATATGAAGGGGGGAAACCATAATCTAGAAAATAGGGTCCGAATAGTGTCATCTGGTGGGCAGTTGAAAGTTTTATCCCCTTCATTTGATTTCATTTATTTATTTATCTTCTTCACTGTGTCTTTGAAACTACCCTTAATAGTGGATTATTTGATAAAATTTCCTTGAGGAACGGATTATGTTTTTGATGAAAATTCTTCCGTAAAGTAGATTTTTTGCTGAGAGTTTCCCTGAAGTGTGGATTATTGGATGGATTTCTTCCTGAAAAGAATGGATTATTGGACAGAATCCTTTTTGAAGAATAGATTATTAGATAAAATTCTTTTTGAAGAAAAGCTAATTTGATAAAATTATTCTAGATGAGGATTATTTGATAAAATGGGAAGGTGAATAATTTGATAAAATTCCCTTGAAATGTAGATTGTTTGAAAAAGCTTACCCTGAAGAGTCGATTATTCGATAAAACTCTCCCTCTAAAAGTTTGGATTCTTTGTTAAAACTTGCCCGGATGAGGGATTTATTTGATTAAATCCTATAAAAGGGTTACTTGGTGAGCTTATTTTATAAAATTCTTTCTCAAGTGTTGATTGTTAGCTAAAAATTTCACTGATGATGGAATTATTTGGGCCGATTCCTTATGAATGATAGATAATTTGATGAAAAAGGATTTTTTCCTGAGTAATGGATTATTTGTTTAAAAAACCAAAAAACTGAAGAGGGTGATTTCTTGATAAAATTCCTTTTAATACATCGCTGAGTGTCAGTAAAACATGATGTTCTCAAAACCTGAAAACGAGCCTTTTATTTTCATCTTCATTTTCTGTGGTTAATAACTCGTGGAAAAAGTGATCTAGAACTCTGTTGACCTCGATAAATAATTATAATAATAAAAAAGAAAACGTTTAACAAGTTTCGTGCTTTCATCATTTTATTACTATTATATTTTTTTATTCGTGCGCCTACTCTTCTGATTTAGCCATCTTCACAATATATTATTCACTAAGGAGAAAAGAAAAAAAAAATTTTTTTTTTTGGATAACCCGTTTTCCAAGACCTACACGACTGGACCTTCTCCCCTTTTGTGTACATCTCTTGGGCGTCCATCTCAAATAAGGCGTTCGATAAATTTAGAAGCGTTGAACTGTGTTGGCGTCCAAGATTACTTTTTAAATTTATTTCTTGTACGTATTTATTACAGCTCTTTTTCTGGTCAAGTAAATGAGGGGGGGGGGAGCAAATTTGGAATGTATATGTTACCGTGAATGATCGACATCAAGAGAATGTCGACTTTCACCGGTGAATGTCATCAATCACATAGTCACTTTGGTGAATGTGAAAAATATGTGTTATATCCGATTTGACATTAATTTATTCATTGATATTAGTATATTTATTCGATATATTATTCGATTGAATGTCATCCATCACTTCGGTGAATGTTCGATATATGTGTTATATCCGATTTGATATTAATTTATTCATTGATATTAGTATATTTATTCGATATATTATTCGATTGAATGTCATCCATCACTTCGGTGAATGTTCGATATATGTGTTATATCCGATTTGATATTAATTTATTCATTGATATTATTATATTTATTCGATATATTATTCGATTGATTGTCATCCATCACTTCGGTGAATGTTCGATATATGTGTTATATCCGATTTGATATTAATTTATTCATTGATATTATTACATTTATTCGATATATTATTCGATTGAATGTCATCCGTCACTTCGGTGAATGTTCGATATATGTGTTATATCCGATTTGATATTAATTTATTCATTGATATTAGTATATTTATTCGATATATTATTCGATTGAATGTCATCCATCACTTCGGTGAATGTTCGATATATGTGTTATATCCGATTTGATATTAATTTATTCATTGATATTATTATATTTATTCGATATATTATTCGATTGAATGTCAACCATCACTTTGGTGAATGTGAAAAATATGTGTTGTATCCGATTTGATATTAATTTATTCACTGATATTATTATATTTATTCGATATATTATTCGATTGAATGTCAACCATCACTTTGGTGAATGTGAAAAATATGTGTTGTATCCGATTTGATATTAATTTATTCATTGATATTATTTTATTTATTCGATATTTTAATATCGGCTGAGGATAGATTAAGAGAAACATCAATGTTCGGAGTACCGGTTAAATGCATACTGAGCAGTGTCACTTGACCTTAAGAAAACATTGATGTAGGGCATACCGGGCAGTGGCACTTAACTACGCCTTGTATACAGGGTTATCCATAATTCCCTCCGGGCTTCCGAAGCGCTATAGTAAAAAAAGAAGACGAATATGAAAAAAAGAAACATATGAAATTATTCAAGTTTTACTTACATACATTACAGGTGTTCTATGTGTGAACCCTTGGTCACACGGCATGCGATAGTCCAGTTCCTACCGAAAGGGAATGATGAATAACTCTGTATATTTCGAGCATTTACCAAAGCGATTGCCAACATTCTAGGGTGGAAGTAAACAACCACTCATTACGGTTATTCCCAGTAACATATATATTTTGTACGGGGGATTCTCTAGCCTTGGCAATTAGGGAAACGATTCGAAATATTTTGGTCTTTTTAAAATAAGCCATAAA